ACCAAGCAGAGGCAACAACTTCATCAGCATTAGAAGGTTTGATGAGATAGCACTGCTCTGTAGACTTAAGAGTTCAGTCTCAGAGCACAAAAGGAAAGGAATGACCTTGGAGAGACAAAAATCACCCCCGGGGCTGAGGTGGAGCTTTGATGTACACGCTGCCTCTCTAAGTAGGGGTGGGGGCAAGAAGGGCCCCCTCCACATCCTACTGGCACCCTGGCCCCTCCGGCCACTGAGAACTGGCTTGTGCATCAATTAGTTTATTCTTTGGCTCTTAACAAAAGCACTCTGAGCCCCAGGGAGGGGAGAGGATCCAAGGACACCATTCCTTAAGATATTATAATTAAACAGATGACTGGAAGCAGCCAAGGCCCCAGGGAAAAGACATCCGTCCAGTAAGGCCCCTTCCAGAGCCCCTCCCCAGGACTGAAAGGGGACTGGAGCTCAGAGGAGGCAGGGAGGGGAGGGGAGTGCTCCCTACCTGGGATGGGCTCTCCCCGTTCTTCAGGAGCTTGTCAAAATTAGCTTTCACCCTGCTCCAGGTGGGGGTGAAGCTGGAGTTGGAATTCAGGCTGCAAAGCCAAGACTTCCTTTGGGATCTGCCTGCCCTCCTGTGCTTCAATCACCCCGACTAAAGAAGACCTGACGGAGGGTATCCTGATCAACATTAGAACAGACTGTGAAACAAGTTCTCAGACAAGTGTGTTTCCCTGGGGATATTCACTGTTGACAGAAGTTTGCAGATGACGGATTTCCACTCTACCAGGAGCTTCCCAGGTGGCTCAGTGGGTAAAGAACCTGCCTGCAATGCCCGAGATATGGGTTCAATTCCTGGGTTGGGTAAATCTCCTGGAGGAGGGCACAGCAATCCACCCCAGTATTCTTGCCTAGACAAGAATCCCATGGACAGAGGAACCTGGCAGGCTACAGTCACAGTCATACATGACTCAGCACAGCACACGGAACCCCTAGGTAAAGAAAGTAGGAAGGAACCTTTGTCTAGTGGAATCTCAGGCCTGAAGGTTTCTGACAGCCTCAAAACCTGGAAGAACCAAGGAAAGTTAGTCACAGTGTGGGCAAAGTTTAACCAGAAATGGCTGCTTGATTTCCACAAAGCTCACAAAAAGGAGGGAAGTATAACAAAAAAAAAAAGGCAAGCTTGGACAGGGAAGATTAAAGTGTAGTTTCAGGGAGTCAGAGCACCTGTGACCACAGGCCAGCACCAGGCCAAGGGCAGGGGCTGTGCAGAAAGCCTCCCATGAAAAGCAAACTCACGAGGTCTGTGTGTGACGGGGTGTGTGAGCTTAGATGTGAAGCTTAATCAGGTTTCAAGACACACGCTAAAAGGCCTGGGTGCTCTGGTGGAGATCCCAAATCACTGCCAGCTGGTCCCTGGGGTCCTCTCTCTGGGGCGGCCTGGGTGACAGGACACAGCTCTGGGACCCTCCCGAAGAGGGCCTGCCACCCCTCCCTCACTGGAAGAGGCCAGATGATGTAAACACCCGTTTACGATGCCCTGAGGGGTGTTCATCAGGGTACCTGGGACCCCTAGCCGCATGGCCCTGAGCCATCCTCTGGCCTTCCTGAACCTCTGTGCCCTGACAGGGGAGAAGAGTGCTCTGAGTTGCCCCTGGCCATGCCTGACCCTATTCCCCAGGCAAGGAGGGACCACTTACAAGCCAGTGCCTGAGTCACCGCCTAGGGCCTCCCACCCTCCAGACCATAGTTTCCACTCCCTCTAGATCCTGAACTCCAGGGTCTAAACCTTCCAGGTTTCTGCTTCCTGCCTGGAACCCCCTTCCCTCTTCTCCTTTGGAAAATGCCTGCCCACTCTTCAAACCCACTCCACTGTTGGAGCCTTCATTTCACTCCTCCTGCCCTGGGGGGGACCATGGCTGCAGTCACATGCAGCGGGAGCCATCCAGGGGGGATCTGCTTCCAATAGAGTGGGCTCCTGCAGAACAATACAGTGAGCTGTGACCAGACTGCTAGAAGGGTTCAGCCCGGTGCCACCATCCTGCAGGGGCTCAGAGATGCTTCCCAGAAGGCTGAAAGCAGGACTCTGTATGTAGCTCCTACAGCCCTGACTCATGCATTTAACTGTTTCCCACCGGCAACCGGGATGGCTCAGGTTAGCCCTGGCAGCCTTTCCTACACCCAATAATGTAATCCGACAATTCCTGAGCTCCAGGTGTGCTGGGTACCATGGCGGGTGGAGCTTGTTCCAGTGCTGAACAAGTCAGGACTGAGGAGTTTTGTTTTGTGATGTGCCAGACAGTACACAAGGGTCTCTTGTGAGGCTCATGTGACCCTACGGTGGAGGTTGGGTGGGATGGGGGGGGGCGGGTGGTGTGGGTCATATTCCTGAGGTTGGATAACACAAACTTGTTCCCTGACCCTGGGGAGGCTGCCAGCATGCCCAGCCTGACTAGATGCAGCAGAGGGGCTCCTCCTCCCCCGAGCCTGGGACCCCTGCCCTGCATCACCTGCCTGCATGTGGATCCCCCAGGCAGCAGGTTGGGCTTCTCCCAGGGGTCTCCTCCCTCTGAGAGGCAGGTTGGGGAGGAAGCCTGAGTGGGCCTTGGCCGCAGACACAGGTTGTTTGGGTGGAGAATTCTGGAATTCAAGGTGCTGGAGCGTGGTCTTCAAGGGGTGAACACTGACTTTGGTCCCTAGACTCCTTGCCCTGTTGTTTCCACAATGCAGGGCCCAGGGCAGGGCAGGCAGTGGGATAAGACACTAGTAATGACAAAGTGTGAGGCTTCAGGCTTATATCCACTCCTCTAGGCAAGGGGGGAAAAAAGTACCTTTAAGCAAAGGCCGGAATTATCCTGCTTTGTCTACTTAGCTTTCATGCCTGCCTGGGAACTCACTGCCCCAGATGGCAGAGGCCTTACGGGACCCTTGGCTCATGAAGGACAAGGCAACGTACCCTCCTCTGCCTTCAGCTGGGTTCAGAGGATCCCGGGGCCGGGGGGAGTGGAGGAGGGAGGAAAGGCCCTGCCTTTGGCTGCGACAACACCCCTTGGGGGACAGAAGCTCGTGCTGTTTGGGCTGAGAGTGGAAACCTCATCTCTCAGCTGTCAAGGCATCAGGGCACCGAGGCGGCCGGGAGTCCCAGGTCTGATGGAGTGCCTAGGTCTTCTCAGCCTAACAATAGGGAAGGCTCCCTGGTGCTGGGATGGCAGCTAGCATCCATAGTAACTGTTCTGTGCCTGTGACTCTCCTGACGGGCAGGAGGGCTGCACAGTTTGCTTTATCATTTGGGGCCCCTTGAGCCTCTTTTTAAGTGGAGGGTTTAGAGGGGTTGGGGTAAGTGGGGAAAGACTTGTAGAGTTGACAGCTTTCATCAGGAAAGGAGTCATGCTTAGGCAGCTTATTGGGCCAGAGGGTAAATGTATTGCCAGAAGTCACACACAAAGCAAGGACAGCAGAACCGGGCTCCACCCCACATCTGGTCTGACTCCAGAGCCCGTGGTGTGGATGGAGAAATAAGGTCTCTGTCCCCTCCCCTGGGTTATGGTGGGCTTGTGACTGCAACAGAGGCTGACAGAAATGACTTGTGTGACTTCAGAGGCTGTGCCACTCAGGCCATGGGCTTCCTCCTTGTCACCACAACCCTCCCTCTGCAAGCCCTGGGCTGCCACCTGGAGCCATGCTGGAGAGGCTACACAGAGGTGCTCCAGTTGACAGTCCCAGCTGGGCTAGTCCTCCAGACACTGCAGCCCAGACACCAGACATGGGAGTGGATGAGCCTTCTTCAAAGGGTCCTCCAGCAGCCGTGGCTCCAGTCCTAGCCATCAGTGTTACCACCAGCCATCAAATCTCCCATCCTGGGCCCTGGATCCCGGGGTGCAGCACCCACCTCTGTGCCCTTTCTGACCTATTGATCCCTGGAACTGATGAGTGACAGGATGTGGTTATTTGATATGTCACCCAATTCAGAGAATGTTTCACAGCAATAACTAACCAGAATGGAATCAAGAGCATCCAGGTAGAGTCCGTGCCATGGAAACGGGAAAGAGCACTGATGTATCTAGTGGAGAATGTGTCCTGAGTCTTACTAGTTTTGCAGCTACTTCTTCAAGACAACGTCACCCCTGCACCTACCCCACCCCCCAAACTCTCTGGATGGGGACAAGGAAAATCAAAAGCCTTCCATCCACTGGGCCTGTGAATGAAGTGCTAGGCCAGAGGTGGAGATTGAGAGCCAGAACACATTTTCATGGACCACCTACTATGTGCCAGACACTCTCCCACCACACGACAGGAAGAGGTTTCAGAGGAAGCCACATGCAAAACTACATCCCTGTTCTCATCCCAGCTGTGCACAAAACTACATCCCTGTGGGAGAGAAGGTGACGAGCAATAAGCAAAGAACTAGATAATATTATGTCACAGGGTACTCGGTGCTGCAGAGAAAAGTAAAGCCATGTGAAGACAGGCCATTTACAGAGGCAGGTTGGGGAAGGACGGACTCCCAAGGAAGGTGGCATTTCAGCAGAGAGAACCCCCACTCTGTTTGACCCCAGAGCCCACGCCCTGGGCATGGGTATCGGGGAAAGAAAACGTCCATGTGGCCCCTAGCGTACACAGCTGTGGCCTCTTAAAGACAGTACCTTTGGATATACACTACCATATGTAAGACAAATGAGAAGAGTCAGCTGTAAAGCACAGGGAACTATACTTGATATCGTGTAATAACAATCTAGAAGGGAAGAGGACCTGAAAAAGAATATATACGTACACACACACACACACGCGCACGCACACACATATAATTGAATCACTTTTCAGTACACCCAAAACATTGTATATCAATCACGCTTCAATAAAAAACACCTTTTAATAAGCACGTTTGTTGATCACTCGTTTGGGGCTCACAGACCCCACAGCAGGTGTGTGAACAGGAGGGGAAACCCTTCCCCTCCCTCACCCCCAACCCACAATTCCAGGCTCTCCCTCCGGCCCTGTGGCGGGGCCATCAGCAGGGTACTTACACAAAGCACGTGAAGGACCACTGCCCCCTGTCTTCGGTCCTCGTTGGTGAAGATGTCATTGGGGAACTCGTGCAGGGCTGTGGGATGGAGAGAGCAGAGAAGCTCAGTATACACAGGTAACATTTCAGAGCAGGAAGCCTTCAGAGTACTGCCTTCCTCAGTCTACAGTGAACTTGGATGAGGAAAAACGACATCTGTAAGTTCAAAGTTCACACATCTCTAACTGGGAACTTGCTGATTTCTCCTGAAGAATAGAGGCAACAAATCTCAGTTGGGTTAGAAACATGCAGGGCTGTGACCCCAGCAGACATGCTCAGGAGCCACGGTCCTGCCATCTGCCTGGTTCCCGCTCACCCCCTTCAACATGGGGGTGGCGTGGAGTTCACCACCTGTGACCAAGGTTCATGAGGACACCTGGGAACCACTACTGTGCAGGTCTGTGTTCTAATACGCTGACAACTTCATTCCAGCACATTAGTTTCCTTCTGCAGCGTCACACATCTCCTTGCAAATACTTAAAAATGTTTTTCCCGAGCAGAGGTCTGCAGGCCTCAAGGGTTACCCGGGGGTCCGTGGCACATGCAGGGTTAAGTCCTTGCTCTGAACTGTCTGTCTGGCCCTCCTTCCTTGTCCTGCTCTTGCCCTGGCCAGGGGCCCCCTGGCCTCTTATACTCCCTCCTCCTGCCTCCTACTTCTATACCACATAGCCCTCTGCTTCCCAGGAAGTCCAGTGCAGTGCAGAACACATAAGAAATGTTCCTTTCTGCCCACTTTCCAAACCCAGGACACAGATGGCTGCTGTGCAGTAAAGATAAGAAGGAACCCTGAAGGGGAGGCCTGTCACTCAACTTTCTGGCTCAGGTTGCCTAGCACTGTCTGCCCCCAACCCAGGGGTGCTTGACTCTGGCCAAACCTGCAGCCCACTCCATGCTTCTGAAGACAATAGGCATCGCCCATAGCTGCACTGCTCCTTCCTGATGTGCCCTGGGGATGGGCTGGCCGTGGTGGGTAGACAGAGGCTCTGACAGCAGGATATCTGTACAGGTTTGGGCAGAATTCACAGCAGCATACGCAGTGACCTCTGCTCCCAGCCAGCCAGCATCCACCCGCCCTGCACTTGACACCCACTATGCCTCCGACCCTCCCAGAAAGCTGTTGCTTCTGGACTGTAGATGAGAAACCCAGGGGCAGCAGGACTGGACAGTGTGCTGGAGCATTCACAGCGAGGGTCATGTACCCAGAAGACCAGCCCGTGACGCCCTCACGGCTGTGACCTCTTGGCTCCTGGTACTGCTTGCACATCTTATTTCACCTGGTGACCTCTTCCTTCTGGGGGGCTTCTTCCTGGTGGGGACCTGATCCAATCTAAATTCAGCCCCCACACACCAGAGGAGCAATCTGTGCAGCTGCCATGGGGCTTTTCAGTGCTGGGCAGTGCAGGGGTAAATGTGACCAATCCACTGCCCACTTTCCCCCAGAGGTGGAGGCAGGCCAGTATGTAGGTTACTGTATCCATCAGGACAGCCTTGGGAAACTGGAGCCAGGGTCTGCCTTGTGATGGGTACCATGCAAAACCGCCATGCATGGGGACCGCTTACCATCAACGAGGAGGAGGAGGGATGTGAGGGGCATCAAGGTGCCCCTGGCACTGATACATGGAAGCCAGCCCACTGCCTTCCCTCCTACCCCTCCTGTTGAGAGCAGCACATGGAGGGAATGAAGGCCGTGGTGCAGGCAATCCTACCAGTCTGCAAGATGCCCACACTGTGCCCACTCTGTCATCCTTGTCTCGCTACCATTCTTGTCTAGACCCAAGAATGGTTTGATCAAGGGTACCATGTCAGTAAGTGACACATTTTTATGTTTTGAACTGAGGCATTTTGAAGGACTGTTGCTAATGCTGAAGCTTCAATACCTTGGTCACTGGTGCAAACAGCCAACTCATTGGAAAAGATCTTGATGCTGGGAAAGACTGAAGGCAAAAGGAGAAGGGGGTGGCAGAGGATGAGATGGCTAGATAGCATCACCAACTCAGTGGACATGAATTTAAGCAAACTCCAGGAGATAGTGGAGGACAGAGGAGCCTGAGGTGCTGCGGTCCATGGGATCACAAAGTTGGACATGACTTAGCGACTGAACAACAACAATTTTTATTTTAAATGCCCTGGGTGCTCAACAGTGAGTGCAGAAGTGGAATGACCAGGACCAGATGGATGTTCTGGGCTTTCAGTTTGATAGGAGAGGGTCTCAGCAGAGATCTGGATTCCCAATCAACCCTGGGGCCTGGCTGGGGCTCTTGGATAGGCCTAGGCCGAGAGCTAAGCCCTTGGGTGGGGAAGGACCCACAGAGCCCAGTGCTGGCTCTAGACCCGCAGAGTGAGTGCTGTCCAAAGTGCTGGCCCAGGAGGTGTTGGGAGGGGGTTGGGGTAAGAGGGTAGGACTGGGGACCAGGACACTCTCCTTCAGGCTCCTCCTTCCTCAATGCTCAGGGGAGTGGGGAGCTTGACGGTGTCCCCTTCTTGATCTGTCTTCCCGGCCTGGTGTCTGACTCACCACCAGCTGGAAACTCCCAGTCCTTGGTCAAGGGTGCCTCCTGCTGTCAGAACCCACGACTGGCCAGGAGAAAATCAGTGAAATTCTCCATGAGATGATCCTGTTACCCAAATGCTAGTCCATGTGTCTGACATGCAGTGAGGCCAAATGATACTGAAATGCTGGCGTTCAGAGCAGAGAAAAATTTACTTCAGGGCCTAGCAAGGCTGAAGCAAGGCTCATGCCTTAAAAACCCCAAACTTCCTGAAAGCTCTCAGCAAAACCCTTTTCTAGGAAAGGGGAGGGAGAGGCATGGTTGTTGTTGCAAACTTCCTGGTGTCAAGCCCTTTATTCCTGAGGTCAGGTTATGGTCAGGGAACGACATGCTTGTCAATCTCCACCAAACAGATGTGATTCTCTCTCTGACAAGAAGGGGCAGGTCCCAAGGCACAACTTCCACCCTCCGAGGTCTAGGGCCTGGTTAAGAGGAGGCAGAGCTCAGTTGTTGGCTCCTTCAAGGCCAAGTCTTCAGACCCTGTCTAGCTGTCACAGCTGAGGGAGCCAGACCCCCAGGACCCAACTGGCCCTCAGGCTCCTCAGGCTGCCTAGACAACAGGGACTGGGTCTGGCAGGACACAGTCCCAGCCTGGTCCCTGGGCCCCCCCAGCTTACCTGCTGGCCCAAGCCTGGATCCACCTCTTACCTCACTCTCCACCTGATGAGCACCACTCTGCTGACCGTTGGCTAAAATGCCCACGATTGGTGGCTCATTGACAGCTGGTTGCCTATTCTTGGGACCCACTGCAGTGCTGACCAATGGCTGAGCAGGACCACTAACGGTCACTCACTGACAGTTGGTCACTTGGGGGTGGGGCCCATGGTGGCACCAACCAATGGCTGAGAAGGACTACTAATGGTCACTCACTGACAGTTGGTCACTTGGGGGCAGGGCCCATAGCAGCACCAACCAATGGCTGAGAAGGACCACTAATGGTCACTCACTGACAGTTGGTCACTTGGGGGTGGGGCCCATGGTGGCACCAACCAATGGCTGAGAAGGACCAGTAATGGTCACTCACTGACAGTTGGTCACTTGGGGGTGGGGCCCATGGTGGCACCAACCAATGGCTGAGAAGGACCAGTAACGGTCACTCACTGACAGTTGGTCACTTGGGGGTGGGGCCCATGGCGGGACCAACCAATGGCTGAGAAGGACCACTAACGGTCACTCATTGACAGTTGGTCACTGTGCGGGGGGGGCCCACGGCAGTCGACCAATAGCTGGGCAGGACCACTAACAGTCCTGAAAAACCATTGCCTGCTAATGGGGTGCAGGGTGTAATGACACACAGCAAGGGCCTGGTTCTATCACTATCCCACTGCAGAAGCACGGGGCTGTGAGCAGAGTGGCTGGCCCTGCCGGACCTCCTCCCTGAGCTGGAGGTGACTGGGCAGTGGCTGAGACAAACAGTGGGTGTTGACCAGTCAGGAGGGTTGGAAGGCAGAGGACAGTCAGTTAAATGCTTTTCAATTGCTTCAACGACAATTTCAACAACAATTTCAATGACAACATTCTTACTTGGTGGTTCCCAGTCATGTGGAAAGAATGGCCAGGTAAAAATTCCCCAGGAAGCCTCACCTGATGTGGGTCCCACTTTATGACAGCTCCTCTGAAAACATGCACTGGGCTGATGATGAAATTATTACGATTTCAGAGAGCTAATACATGACTTGCAAAGAACATTGTAATCATTTTCAATTCCATCATGTTGGAAGCTTGTGTGACTCATTGGCAAAGACCAGTAGCTGACGACCCCAGCCACAGGGGACGTGACTCAGGAGCCCCATCACCAGAGACCCAACTGGGGCAGCAGTTTCTTTGGGGGTAAGCCCCCAAAGCTCATCACTTTTCTCATTAGTAACCCTCTCCACCCCATATGCACCCCACACAGTGCCTGCCAGTACAAAGTTATTTCACTAAGTGTTGCCTTGTCCTGGTTCTAAAGCAGTTTGATGTGATGGTGTTTAATCTCCTTAAGGCAAGGGTCAGCTTAGGCCGAGGAAAGGGCCCTCAGTCAGGCGTCTGGAGATGTGGGGCTCATCCCCAGGCCTCTCGTGGTGTGGCTTTTGCCAACATGTCACTTCATCTCTCCAGGCCTGAATCTGCCTGCTGGCCCATATGAAAAATGGCTGTGGTTTCTTGTCACGGCTCCCTTCAGTCTACACAGAGTAGGGTCAGTGCATACAGCAGGTGCCTAATAAGTATTGACAGGATGAAGAACTCTGAGGGGAGGAGACGGGGTCCCTGACTGCAGATAGCATGAGCTGGCCTTCCTAGCTGGACTGGTGGTTCAAGAGTTGCCGGTGGTGGTTGAGTTAGCCTCTCTGAGGCCGAACAAGCCCCGACGTGAGGCCAGCACAGACTCTGGGCCACAAACTCAGTCCAAACAGTGCTTTCGGAAGGGCCACATCTGCCACTGAGAAGAGTATACAGAGATAGACTGGCCCAATGGCTCTGCCCAGCGCTTCTAGCCTCGGCTTCCTTAACATTTTCCTGTGGCTTAGGCTTTGAGTATGAGCCCACCGTGGGAAATGAGGCCTGGGTTCAGGGCCCACCTCTGTGACTCATGGGTTTTCTTTTCCCCTCTCTGAGCCCACCTCCTCCATCAGTGAGAAGGTGTGTGGACGCCAACCATGTAAAGTTGCTGGGAAGCGCACAGACAGTGTGTGAAACACCTCTGCCATGCCATACTTCCTGGGTACCTATCGCTGTTCTTGTTCATTTTAACAGTGATAGGAGGCAGGCCCAGCAGGGGGCTGAGGACACATTCCTCACGACGTTGGTGTTAAAACCCACCGATCACCAGCTCCTGCCTGCCTCACCCGGGTGTCTATTTCTCCAGGATGGTGTTTGGTCTGAAGGAGCCGCACGAGTGCCTGAGCCTCTGATAAGTGCTTCCTGCGTACACGCAGTTGGGAGCCCAAGGTCCTCGTGTCATGCTGGCAATAGCTACACATCCAGCTGAAGTTTCCCCCCAATACATTCAAAATCCTCAAAGTCTCTTTTTGCTCCTCTCCTTCTCCCCATAATTTTCTTTCCGGTACATCTTGCCAGTCTGGGGCAGGCAGCCGGCAGAAGCAAGCAGTGCTGTTCCCATGGAAACCACAGAGCCTGGAGGGAGCGGATTCCCCTTACCAAGGCAACGGCAATCAGCGGCCTGCTTCTCTCTCCTGGCTGCTTTCCTGGGCCTGAGTTTGATGAGTCTAAATGGAAGTCTGAAGGGGATGGAGAGCTTTTTTTTTTTTAATGCAATAGGGACTTTCCTAGCATCTTTAGACATACTAATTGCATACTGATCAAATGAAACGGCTCAAGATGAAAATCAACACACCTAAAAAGGCCCAGCTCCCTGAAAATACCTGAGTGAAAGGAATCTGGGCCTCTGTGACCAACACAACACCCTGCTCTCATCCAGTTTTTTTTAAAATCATGAACTACTTAGAGCATCTTGATTGCCTGGCCCCTTGGGAATTGCACCAAGAACCGAGGTCCTGACACTGCCCAGCTCCTCTCTGTGGCAATGGGTGACTTCAAGCTTCTGTTTTAGACACTCTGATATATCTTGCTGCTCCCTGGGCGCCTGGCAGACACCCTGGGAAGCCAAGTCTGCCAGGTGTGGTGACAACCCCCACAGCCTCCTGATGCTCTGTCGGGGGTCCCATTACGCTGTGCTGGCATGTAACTTTCCAATAAACTGCAGTCATGCCTTGGCCTAAATAACCCTATGAGCTGCTGCATGGCAGGACCTCTCTCAGGGCAGCACCCACCAGGCCAGGGCCACAAAAGAGAATGACACGGAGTGAATGGAGTCAGACTGACTTTCTCCTAGGACACAGCTTCTATATGCACCTAGGACAGAATTATTAGCTGAGAAAATGACACTGGGAGGCACAACTCAATAAAACACCCCAAAACTGAATTCTAACCTGAGTGATCTTTCAGGCTGTGGACAAATAACCCATTCTTTTCATTCTAAGACCTGGAAGGAGCACAGGTCTAAGCCTCCTGCGTGGTTAGGTGGGGCCATGCAGATGCTTTGGCTAATGAAATGTGAACAGAACAACAGGACGTCTGTTTTCCTGGGTCAACCTCCATAGCCAGGGTCTGACTCACTATTTTGTGTGCTCTTGGCTACGTGTCAGGAACGTATCTTTCATCAATCAGGGTCCCTGAGTCAGATATTAGAATCCCATCCCCCTGAGGTGCACATTTGGTAGCCTGAGTAATAAACAGCACTCCTTAGCCACTGAGATTTGGGGCTGTTTGTTACCCAACATATCCAAGCCCACTCCGAGCAATGCAACAGCAAATGTGTCTTTGGCATCCCTATGGCATTTTGCACATGAGGCTCTGCCTTGAGACAATCTTTCATTTCTCCTGTCTTCTCCACTAGACTGTGTGAGGGTAGGAAAGGTGGGAGGAAATTTGTTCTTCTGTGCATCCCCTGTGCACAGCTAAGTGCCTGCAGCAGAATAGTTGCTTTATGAGTATTTGCTGATCAGATGAACACATGTGTCATCATTGAAGGCCCGTGAACAAGATTATCTGTGAAAGAATCTATGAAAGTGGATGTATTCATAACTTGAGAAGTTTCAGGCATTCCAGACTCAGTGAGGTTGAGCAGGACACGGGGATGCGACGGGGAGCATGTTGGCAACAGGCGGGTGCAGGCTGCTGTGAAGTCATCATTCGAACTTGCTCCTCAGTCCAAGGACTGTCAGTAACATGGGAAAACTTAGCAAATCAAAACCATGCAATGAAATACATACTTATTTAGCTTTTACCATGCTCTCAGCACCTTATTCAGCCCCAGTTCTAGAAACATGAAGGATACACAGTCCTGACCATTGAGGAGTTAATAAAAGGTTAGGCTGGGAGTAAGGGAACCCTCAACTTTGAAGTCACACTAATAACATGTGTCCCAAATTGAAGCAGAAATGTAATCTTTATGGAGTACTGTAAAGATGTATTTACCACTTTTTCATTGCTTCTATGGGATAGGAATCATTATCTTCAACTTACAGAGGAGGAAACTGAGGCTCAAAGAAATTAACCAGCCCACAGTCACACCATGTTCTTGGAGGAGCCATCATAATTGGGGTCTGACTTCCTAGCATGTTGATGTCTCTGCAATAGAAAAGGCAGAGTGAATGGAATCAGACAGCCTTTCTCCTAGGACACAACTTCTGTATGCACTCAAGAGAGAATTATTAGGTGAAAAATGACACTGGGAGGAACAATTCAATAAAACACCCAACAACTGAATTCCAACCTGAGTGGTTGGAATTGTTTTTTTTGTCCCTTTCTGTGACTTTTTGGGGCACATGTCCCTCGTTTGAAAAGCCAGAGCAAAGTTCCAGACTCAAACGGGTTGATGTGTGTGTGGAGACAAGACTGTGAACAGCACCTCTATGAAGGAGAATGTAACAGAGGTCGTGGTAAAAAGGAACCTCAATCCAGGGTTCCTCCAACTATTACTACAAAGGCATCACCAATCAAATTCACTGACAAATGTCATTTCAGCCAAATGTCTATGTGTTGGCGTATGCTCATCAGGCAGCCAGGGTTTTCTAAGAACCTGAATACCTAGATTTGAAGACCTTCTTCACCACTCATGAGTTCTGTGGCCTTGCACAAAACTCCTGAGACTTCTCCAGTCTTAATTTCTTAATGTGCAAAATGAGGGCATGAAAACAATACCAGTTTATGTGATTAGGAGGATTAACTGTGATGATCCCTGTGAAATACCAAGTACCTACAATTAGGTAAATAATTATCAAAGGGTAGCTCCTTTGATTCAAATAATGAGGAAGGAGAAATACAGACAGGAGTTGTTTCCTGAGGCATCCATGCCCACCTTCCTAGAGTCCCATCATGTTCATGTCCCATCTCTTTTGCATCTCTTTGCCTGAGGGCTTTCTCCAAGGCTGACCATGGGTGCTCTGCCCTGTTACTGCAGGTTGGAGAAGCTGGAAA